AAGCAATGCCCAGGAAGCTTGTGAACATAATAAGTTATTTGTATTCGCATACGTTCGAGCGGAGGGCTCTCCATAAGCTTCCACACACAGGTCCGTTAAGNCCCACTCTTTCCGGCTCTATTTGATTTTGTAAATGACGAGGTACTGAAACGAAAGCTGGGAGATTTTTGAAACCTTGGCGTTTAAGTAACTACTGACGATTACACCGTCGATACAGAATATGCAGACAACATCCGTCGCGTATTCAAAGAGTAGAAGAAGATGCAGCTGGTTTTGGATGAACTGCCCGAATTCATCCCGTCCTTTAACATGCGCTTTGCACTCACAAAGTGTAAAGTCATGCTCCTGGACCTGCAGCCACTGAACGCGCCACCAACAATCCAAGGAGAAGCATCAGAAATTGTGCAGCGTTTCACGCATCTTCGAAGTTGTGTTAACTCTTATTTTAGCTTGAGAGATGGGGTCAATGCATGAATCTTCAAGGCCTCAATCATGTTTGTTAATTTGAGACCCATGGCATCGAGGTGGAATGTCCCTGAATCTCGAGGGACGTGTGTATCGGATCACAGTAGAGGTTGTTTTGTCCTATGACTGTGAGACTTGACCTGTTCGAGCTGTAGAACTGAGTCGTCTTCGGGTGTTCGAGAGAACCATAGCGCATGTAGGTTAGTGTCGGTGAATTCACGGCGAGGCAGGTAGAAGGTGAGTGTTCGGTTGTGCCACGGAGACTTTCACAGTCCTCATTGAGTGTGCTGTTTTACAATTCACTGGGGTAGAGACATAGAGGTGACAGCATGACCTGACAGCATGAACGCCACTGACGCCAATCATCCATAATAAATTCTGGTGTCTACAGCCATGAGGAGGGAGGGTTATGTAGGTCTCATCTTAGAAGGCAAGTAGCATCCAAACTTATATATTCTGTCATAATTTGTCAACTTCCAAGTTCTGGTTAATTCAAATTAGGCATGGGAAACAACCTTATTCTTGGCAAATGGTGACTCGACATTTTGTAGTATGTGATCCAGACCACTTAGTTGGGAATGCTAGGTTCCTTTCCTAAAGTAAGGACCTTATTCCTCACCTAAGATGTAAATCCTGTTTACGTCATTGTGGGCTTACTTACTACAGCCTATTACAATCATGGTTTAGGGTATTTGTTCGCAGGCGCACGAAGAGATCTCCATTCCTGCACCTGAAGTGGGGCAGTCCTGCAATTGCGTATTTTAGGTGGACAAGTTCCTCGCTCGGGGACATCTGAACATAAGGGCTTTGGGGTCTTTCCAGTTTTCGCCTCATCACCGCATAATTGACGCAAGAACGAAAAAATAGAAAGTTGGTATTCTTGCTTGATAGCACTACTAGCGAGAAAACTTTCGAATAGCTTTCCCTGAACCGTCATGAGATCCACAATTGTGTAACTACAATATGTTATTCTGGATCATAGTCCGTCGCATAAGTGTATTGAGAAAACAGACATTGACTCGTTATTGAAGTCGCGAAACACCAAGATTGTAGGTGTCTATTTACATTTCATTGCCATTATATCTGGCAGAGCGTGGAGACATGGCCCCGGCCTGAATTCAGCTTCAGGTTCTCGGGTCCTGTATTCACATACTTTAGTAAGTCGACGCAAACAAGCGCCTCAACTAGTTTGTTTACAACGGAGATGAAGCGAACAGGTTTTTCGAAACTTTGCCTCAATTTACTAATCCAAAACCTAGTTTAATGTTATACATGCAAAGCACTCAACCTCTTGCGGGGTTGCGGATAGCACTTTTTCGTAAGAGTCGATATCCGAAGACGGTGTCTGAAGACACTTCACTAGGTGATTTTGCCTGGAGGCCGTTGGAGTGCGAAATCTTCGCGACGGGAAAGTGGGATGCGCATTTTGCGCATCCACAAAAGGCCCGAGAAGGAACAACGAACAAATGCTTGATCAGAATTTACGTAAATGTTCCAGAACGAGCGGTATTCAGTAACTGATCCACGCCATCTAGAGCCAACGAGAATTCGGTCTATTTACGTTGGTAGCTGACCCGTATACGGGGGCTCCATGTGATCAGTCAATTTCGATCGTCCCAGGTGTGATGAAAGGAAGAAAGCCTTCGCTGCGGAGTTATTTATTAGGAAACGCCAAGTGAACAGTTACAGTCTATCGGACCGAGAAGCAAAACTCCCATATACATCTTGTTTACAAAACCTGAATATCCATCTTCTCCTTGAAGTCGTCTTCCTGAACTTTCCTGGATATTCATTGACTATTACTCAAATGCAAGCAAATGCGACTCCACAAATTCCGTAATAGATCTCACTTTTCAAGAGACTCTAAGCGGATTTACGGGAAAACATACTACTCGCATGCCCCCATCAGTAGTAGCCACTGTTACACAGGCAATACACATAAATAGTCAACACACAGGCGTTTTTCGTCTTTCTTGTTTCCTGCTTCCACTTCAAGGTGACCACGTACTTGAATATCATCAGGTCTGCCTATTCACAAATTACATGCCCCGACAAAAACAGCAATATTTTAGACCTTAATTCGACATAATGATGCGCTCATTGCGTCGTAAAATATCCTTTGAGAGTACCAGGTCAAGGTCTGTTGGGATATAAGCAAGTACGGTAACAAGGCGGTGATCGTCTGTGCACTTACGTGATTCTGTTGCAGGAGGTTGCCGTATGAACCATACAAATGCGCCTGTAACAGACAGCGACGGTTTGGAACGATACCAAGCCCTGGACAGCCAGTGGCCGGGGCTTTTGGTTTACCAGAGGTGGGCAGTCGAAAGCGAGACAAAATCAATGAGAAAGTCGACTCAGCAACCATACTTGGCTCTTCACTCTTTGTTTCGGACAGAGAGAAAGTGAGTCCAGCTTACATGCAAGAGCAGTCTGTTTTCCGGCTTCTTTCAGAGCTCAACCGTTACAGACTACCAGCTAAACTGAGCCTCAGGGATTGGGGAGTGATTTCGAGGTATTTGCGGCCACTGCAGTCGAGTCCAGCTTAGACATTCCGGCTTACGGCAGTGAGCGATGAACTGATCCAACAGTCCTTAAGAATGGACCTGCAGTGATGTCGGCAGCAACTGGTTATGGTGAAGGACGAATACCTGAGGGAGGAGAGAGGTCTAAGTTGTAGCCCGTTTTAGCCTCCCCACGCTGCTGTATGCGTGCGACCAATACGATGGTCGATGTGGTATAAGGTCACTACTGTACACACTGTTTATGGTTGTACACGGGCTGGAATAAAGCCAGGGCACCCAGGCCTAGACAAGAGGGAGATCAAAGCATCAGTCCAAGCCTTTGGCTCAGAAGCTTAATAAACCAAATCGCGCAGCCACCAGAGCAGTCTACATGTTCAACGAACAAGTCACTACACCAACCCGCGGACTGGGGGACCAGGAGACTGTGTCAGTCACTCACTCACTGACCAACCTGCTATGAAGGGTCTGTGGGTACCGCGTGTACACTGTTCAATATGGGTCCATGGGTTTTTGAGGTTCACAAACTGCTATCTCACGATAAAGTTCAGTTGCTCAGTGACAGTAAATTTTGTGTTTCATACTTCACTGATTTATGCGATGTGACTTACNAGCAGTCTGTTTTCCGGCTTCTTTCAGAGTTCAAACGTTAAAAACTACCAGCTAAACTGAGCTTCAGGGATTGGGGAGTGATTTTGAAGTATCTGCGGCCACTGCAGTCGAGTCCACCGTGGACATTCCGGCTTACGGCAGTGAGCGATGAACTAATCCAACAGTCCTTAAGGATGGATCTACAGTGATGTTGGCAGCAAATGGCTCTGATGGAGGACGAATACCTGAGGGAGAAGAGAGGTCTCAGTTGTAGCCTGTTTTCGCTTCCCCACGCTGCTGTACGCGTGCGACCCATGCGACGGTCGATGTGGTGTAAGGCCACTACTGTAGGCACTGTTTATGGGTGTACACGGGCTGGAATAAAGCCAGAGCACCCGGGCCTAGACAAGAGGGCGATTAAAGCATCAATCCAAGCATTTGGCTCAGAAGCCTAATAAACCAAATCGGGCAGCCACCAGAGCAGTCTACGCTTCCAACGATCAAGTCAGTACACCAACCCTTGGAATGGGGGACCAGGAGACTGTGTCAGTCAGCTCTCTCCTCACTGATCAACCTCGTATGGAGGGTCTGTGAGTACCGCGTATACATTGTTCAGTATGGGTCCATGGGTTTTTGAGGTTTAAAAACTGTTATCTCCCGATAAAGTCCAATTGCTTAGTGACTGTTTTGGTCCTTACCAATGAATTCTGTGTTTCATACTTCACTGATTTATGCGATGCGACTTACAACATGTGGGGTTTCGCAAGACACATAAGACAAGAAACGCACAGCGAAATTCATTTGATGTTTTATTTTAGCACACCTTTATCAAGTTCGAAAGTTGCTTCCATAAGACGAAGTCACCTCATGTAAATTCTGCTGAAGTTGTTTTTCTGTGTTTGTTGAAATCANCCAATTCCATCTTAATGAATGGGAAAATCAACGTACATTAACAGCGGTGCTTTTCAATGAGGGAAACGTGCATGCAGATGATCCTTCAGTTTCCGTATTGCACAAAGGCTCTGAGCGGGATACTCAGAAATTTATTTCATGTTTTATTTTAGCACACCTTTACCAAGTTCGAAAGTTGCTTCCATAAGACGAAGTCACCTCATGTAAATTCTGCTGAAGTTGTTTTCCTGTGTTTGTTGAAATCAGGTCGCAGACTGCGTTGATCACGTGATTGGCTTTCGAATCAATAACGGGAGCTAGTTAGTGTAGTGAAAAATCAATGCCCTGTACCTAGGCTTGTGGGTAGATTATGCATGTAGTATTTTAAAGCACAGTGAACATTAACAGAACATCTTAACCTATTTCAACAAAGATCAGGTTGTTGCCTAACAAGGAAGTGAACAAATAGCTGGAGGTTTTGTTTACCTTCACCCAAACCTCTTACTGAGTGAATTATGATAAATTTGGAGTTTGACATCTGACAGCATGGTCTCAATCACAGAAGAACCGGATTCAGAACGTACGGATATATATACGCCTCGGAGCATTTTGAAAGATAGCGAGACAGAAACCGAATACCAAATACGTACACGCTTCTTCATGAATCCTCAGACAGCTAAACTGCCAACCCGTGTTTATCGCCGCTCATTCAGACGACAGTTTAGTGAGCCGAGGTATCGCCTATCACAACTTCGTCAACTGGAAAGGTCTAACTTATTGAAGTGTAAAGGAGAAGACGTCGGGACTCAGTTTTATCTAGAAGATATCAAATCCGAGAGTGCGGTCCATGAACAGAGACGTGGCTCTGTAGAATCAGCCGCATTTCTGGGCGTGAGGGAACAAAATACGGCCAGTCTTCTAGAAGGCAGATTGATAGCGGAATTGCAGTCGGCTATTGGACACTATACCATGCTTAGTACGAGTCTGAGTGAATTAGACAAAACTGAATTCAATGTCAGGCTCCAGTCCCCTTCTGCCGCCGGTGAATCCCAAGCGTGGACTTCAGGCGATGCATTTCGGCCAGCTACATCGGACCGTGGCGAATTGACAAAGATAATAAAAGCGAAAAAACCACTGAGAACCAACCGGCGTCAGCCACTGTCTCTCAGAAAACAAGCGAATTCAGAATACGGTCAAATTAGTATGATGCGACTAAATACCAATCCGAGCTCACACGATCCGGGAAAACCTAATGTTCAAGGTTCTTGTGCACAACCGAAACCTGATCGATCAAGGAAGACATGCAATTATCGACAGGGTAGATCACCACTGTTCAACTTTGTGCCTATTGAGACAGGTGTTAGACGACCCCAGAAGACAAACAAACGTTTAGAAACGCAGCTAGTACCACCTTTAGGGCGAAGGACTAGAGAGGAGAGGGTGATAAGAAGGTTACATCATTTATCAGCGGACGATTTATCGGAGCAGAGCTCCAAAGAAACCAACCGCTTCGCGAAGCCAACCAGAGTGAATTTTCGTAAAAATTCAGATTCAGCAAGAAAGACAATTTCACTGAAGACCTCCAAACCACAAAGTGCTCCGAAAGTTGCATATAGAATAGGCCAGCATAGAAGATCCAAGTCAAGCGCAACTTAGCGGAGGAGATCACGAAAGGACCTACACACATGGCTTTATTTATTACTCATTACTGAGTCCAAGTTACTCTCGCAAGTAATTGTGTTCACATACCCTAAATGTTTGATTTACTGATTTCCAAAATATGTTTCTTAGTTGCTAGGAGGAAGACATGAGTTTGTCTGTTTTTAACTGACTTCCCAGAAAAATGTCAGTAAATCACACCAGGTCAATTTATCAACAAAGCGTTGAACTTTTGTTCATATCGGAAGGCAGGTAGCTGCCTGAATGATCCAGCGTCCCGGAAAAATTTTATTGTCAACCTTTGGTGGCATACATCACAGGTCTCTGAACTCATCCCTTCGACAGCGATGGATAACTCAGGCTGATAATCACGTGATACTAGCATAACGTGATGTATGAAATCACGCTTAGACAGTTGTCATCGTGACAGTTTGAATGCCTCATCGTCCATGTTGTTTTCGTGCCGTGAGATGAGTACTTTTTTGAACATGCTACGGAAGGCCTTCTCTAAGTGAGAAGCGTCAAACGGGTTTTGTAGGATATCTAGCTTTATCCTATGTTTTATACAAATTAGTGGATTTTTGAGGTTCCCCCTGACCTCCTTTCGTAAAAGTTTAGTGAGAGTACTGATGAAGTACTGGTAAGTTACTGGTGGCATTGCGGAATTCATGAATTAGGCTACCACTAGAAGTGCCGACAGATTAACCACCCTGTCCACAGCAGTTTCTACCCTAATCTAAAAAGAGCAAGAAGGCAGTCAATTGTTTGGCGGTTAATAGCGGTAATTCTCAAATCGTGTTAGTTTTACGATTATAGAGATCTCACTAACATATAGCAAATGAAAAGGTAAGTTCTGCTATTATATTATTGAAATTTCCAAAAAATGGCATCCGTGGGCACAGAGTATCAATTAATTTTTTCTTCAGGTGGCAAGTGTTTGACATTGTATCTGACGAATAAACAAAACTTTTGTTCATTTAATAGGGGAAAACGAAGGTATTTATCTGCCTAGTGTACACCGACCTTTCTATAACATTGTATTAATTTGTAATGAATGCATACAATACCAAAGGCCGTGAATCAAGCATATGGAGGACATGTGGTCCTGGTGTAACTGCGGATACTACTGATGAGGCGTGGGAGTAGTATATGGTTTTCTCGAAGTTCCGCCTCATGTCTAACGGAAGGTGAGGTTCATTATGGAACTTGTGGAGCTGATTTGCAGCGTTCGTTTGCAACGACATGGCGGTCGATGAACATCCATGAAAGCGGCCGTGTCTGGCACTTCGGCATTCAGTTGTGTTGCGGCTGGTACCACAACCCGGGAACATCGCGAACGAACGCGCGTTGAAGACCTGTGCTATTTGTTTGGATGTCCCGAAAGAGGTTTCAATTAATTTGACAGCCTGCTCGGCCGCTTCCAATTCACACAAAAGATTCACCAGAGTGGGGAGATACACGTCAGACATTGGCACTGAAGACAGTTGGGACTCACATAAGTGCGCCGGCCGCTCTTTCGCCACGTACGAGGCAGCCTCACGATTGACTCGGATATTCAATAGCAGATTATTTTACAGTGCCAAAATTAGCACCAACGGTCGACAACTTCAAACGAAACTAGAGCCGACTGCGTTGGCGCTTTTCCTCATTATGCTTTTCTGAATTCTCCCCATTCAACATGGTGGAATCTGTTTCCCCACTACCGTCCAATTCCCCGATCCAGTGATCTGCCACGGCAGAACTGGATGCCGAGATGCCAGACACGGCTTCTTTCGTGGATATTCATCGACTATTGCGCAGTTACAGGCAAACGCTGCAAAGTTGCTCCATGAGTTTCGTAATAAACCTCGTTTCTCATTAGACTCAAGGCAGAGCTTCGAGAAAACTATGTACTAGACACATGCCTCATCAGTAGTATCAGCCGTTTTGTTTTGCCTTGTTCCAGCTTAAATCCCTGGCTACCATTGCCCAGTTGTGGCAACATACAATATATCTTATTAGTGATATCATGGATCAATAACCGAAACTTCATTCTGTTTCGGGACAGTTTATTTAGCAATAAAGTATTAGCCAACATTCTGGTTACAACAATATCGGCAGTACGTCAACCGTCTTGGGACAGTGATAGGTCGATAAGCAGTGCTCCCTTACCGCAATGTTCACAGAAATTAGTTAGGTTTCATCAAATATTCTCCTATGATTTAAACGAATGTATTTTGGTTCAAAGCAAACGTACCTTTCCAGTCCGCGAGAAAGCTTTCAACACATTGTCCTGTTCGAAGTTTTACAAACCGATCGTGTCTGAAAATTGCTCGGGCAAAGTAAAGACCCATAAATTGTGGCACACTACGGACGGCACTGACGAATTACACGAGGTTTTTACTTAATAAAAGATTCTAACCGCGTTCGATAGCGGTATTCTGCTAGTACGGCTCCCAGTTTATCCGATTTCAGAGCGGAACCAGCTTGCTTGAAGTTTATTGCACTTAATGAGTTTTGCATGGTCCGTTATCAGATTTATTGGCTCCTCTATCGAAAGTCACTATTGCGGCTATCTTGTCGAAAGCCTGTCCTGTGTAACAAACAATCGAAACGATCCCGTGATGCTGTAGACAAGAACTGCGACAGTATCAGTTTTGCACCGCAGAATTTCACCGACCACAGTGACAGCGGACTATCGTCTTCGTGTTGGACTCATTTAGAGTTGTGCCACTGTACATCTTCTTTCCCATAGATGATTGGATACAATTACTCTAGAGTAAACCGAGGCTTATTATGATTATGATTATGATTATGAACCACTAGGATGGTATTGGTGACTGCGGCAACTGGGCAATAAAAGTCGTAGAACGAAAAAACGTAATTAAATATTAACTGCAAGAACAGACATCACCATCAAACATTCGTACGTAATAAACAATAAGTGCACTGAGTCCTAAAGACACGACTGGAGGGAATTTTAGTTGGCCTACAAAAGTTTCATTGCCACTGGTATCTTTAGCACAACCAACCGCGCCAGGACGATCCCTTTTCAAATAGGAACGAAATGCCAACTGGTAACCTAGGGGAACAGATTAACAGCCAACTGATCATTAGCCGGTTAACAGACCAGATCTCTCAGTAGTCTGAAACAGCTCTCCTGAGAATTGTCTCATCCTGTCATCTACCTGTGGGACTACACCTGTGTGCACTTTGTTAGATAGAGAATGTGCGCTCACCTCATACAATAAAGAAGAAATTCTCTAAGTGTGGAAAACTCCCCCGTGCATTCACCATTATCCCCAGAAATGCCTTTTGAAAGCTCATTCATATCTCTCCGGCACTAAGAGTACCAACCTTTCTTCATTAACATGATATGTCATCGATGTCACCAGTGTCTCTTTAACACAAAGGCTTCCTTTGGGAGCCAGACTTCATAGTAACACATTTGTCAACTCACATTCCACCATGATATTGAATGTTATTTTTGACTGCAGTTCTAGCTCTTTGTTACCGGAAAATGACTCGCCGACAGTGTTCTGTGGTGAAAAAGACCAACATCTCAACCGGAACACCCAAGGAAGACCGAACATTGGATTCACAAACAAAGAAACAAGGAACTCCTCAGAATCAGATCAATAAAGGTCACAAGCCGGAGCTCGGAAGGACAAAGGTCATCCCAACATCGACCAGATTACGACGGCGATGGATGTCATGCTCAAAGGTCACCTGGACATCGGCGAAAGAGGACACGGAATAACAGAGCAACCGCCCGACCGAACAACTAATCGCGGTCAAAGGTCATCCGCGGCTAACACACATGTAACACTACTCAACGCTCAACCACTAATTCACCGCTACGTACACCAAAGCTCCACAATAACGCACTGATGATGTCGCCTCGACTGGTGATGAAACGTTTGCAATCAAATTGCCCAGCTCAGCGAACAAGCCAACGACCACACAACAGCTTTATTGCAGACGAGCGAGTACAACGACCTCACGCTATATTTCGAATGACGCTGTTTGAACCGGTATGGTGTCTCGGTTGTAGCAATGGATCTCTCTGAGGAGATCAATGCTTCCGAGCCATAGGTTGAGGTCTAGTAACTGTTTTTTCGCTTTTGGGATAGGGCACCCAGTCTGCCGTGGCTGAGTGACATACCGTTCCGACATCAATGATCTTAGTGATTCTTTTGAGAACGAATCCAACAGGTCACCTTCGGCGCCCGGGGTGATATTCCCCCACTTACACACGGTTTCCAGACCGAAACGTTGGTTTTTCTCCTGTTAGTGATTGAAAACACGTAAATGTTGGCAGGATAGCGTTGTGGCTAAGTCTCAGCCATCTGTTTATTATAACCTTTGCTGGAGAGAAACCATC